TATGCGAATAGATTTTGTTTGTCCTTTGCTTAACGAGGCAGGGTGATGTTCGAAAATTCGGCGAGAAACAGGCCTAATTATATGGCCTATGTAACTCGTGTGTTCTGTGTGATAAAGAAAGCATTAGGCGTGACACCTATAATTCATTAAATAATCAGTAGTACAACTGGATCTCGTCTTTCCAACTCACATCATCAATAGGTACAACATTTTCTTTCTTTCTTTTCCTTTTCTCTCTCTTCTTTTTCCGTTATTTGCTGCTTTATTTCTTTCTCTCACTTACGCCAGTTAATAAGACAGCTCCCACTTTTCTAACACCTTCAAACACTGTTTCAACTTTACCTTTGCTACCGACATGCCAATGTGCTGTTGTAATAATGAACTGAGATTATCTTAATCTATGTAGAATTCTATTTAGTGATGATGTACTAACTGGATGCAATACTGTAGTAAAAATGCTGAGAATTCCATTCTGTATCACATGTACTGTTTTTGGAATTAAGCAAATTATTATTATTATTAACTGGCTCCACAAGAGTAGTTAAATTGGTAGATACACATGGAAGAGGCGGAATTAGACAGTTTGTCTTTTATTCTCGAACGCAGAAGAGGAGTGGTTTTAAAGATACTTGAATGGGTCTGGAGAGATCATGTGACTGTGTGTGTGACAATAAATGTATCAGATATGGCTCACAGTCGAAATAAATATGCTGGAGATTTCTTGTTTTGTACACTTGTGGAAGTAATATGAAATAATGGAGACACTCCTCTGTATATATGTCACAGGTATGCTCACCTGATCCTATTCTGCTGTTCCTCTTTGTACCGTCGTTTAGTTATTTTTGCATGTCACATTTCCTGATGTGTCTACACAGCAACAAGTTTACCTTTGTGTTATACTAGTAACACGTCTTCTCCGGGTGGAAGACGTATATCAAAGACACAATCAGTCCTAATCATTCAACTCTTTCTTCACTGCCCCCCCCCCTAGTGTACTGGACACAGACAAATACAAATGCGCATACATCGTCTATATACTGTAGATTAGTGTTATAATCAGAACCGATAAACAGCTCGACCACGCACGTGGTCTCGGCTTCGACGCCCATCCGACTCACTCTTTAACCTCACCCTACGGGTAATAAGCCCGATAAAATGGAAAGTTTGGGTGTGAGGCTAGCGATCCCACCCTGTGAAAAAGATAAACACCACAGTCACTAAAAATTCAGAGGTCAACCTTGAAGCCACTGGTGTTCCAGTCGAAACGAAAAGGATTGGAATTCCATTGGAATTAGCAGTAATCAGCGTAATGATTCTTGAATGACCTTACTATCGTATTCCTAAAAGGTAGTTCTTTCGATAAGAGGGAGAGGAGTGATTGTAGGTGTATGTCTTATTTTCTCTTCATTCATTCCTTTGGCTTTTGAGTGGAATGCAGGATTTCAAGATTTCATGACTGAAGTTCCAGTTTTCCTGCTTCTATGGGCTTTCAATTAGTTGGTTACTTAGTTGAGGTTTAAGAGTGTGTTGGTTGGAAATCGAAAGCCAGAACTCGTGTGTGGTTATCGAGGTTATTTCACTCTGACTGGGTACTTGAGTAAAGTGGTAGTGTGGTGAGAGCGGTCTACTAGCCAAGTGGTGGACAGTAATTGAGGTCAATGATTATGTATCAAATATTAGTCATGTTGTTGTGAGAGATGGTTGCTGGCCAAATTGGTTGACAGTAATTGAGGTCAAAGGTCAAGGTGGACAGGCGGTTACAGTTAACATATAGATGAACTGACACAGCCACAAGAGATGCAAGGTTAACTTTGTGTGATAAACAACCAATCAACAGACTGTATTTTCTACTAACATTGACCTTCAATAATGTACATAAAAATCTATAAATACGTGTTGATTTTTCGTAATAAACGATCTGTTGCCTGGCCCTTGTCTTCTGTTGTTACAGTAGTACACCGATAATGAGCTCCGTCACTAAGAGACGAAACAGCTGTCTTGCAATTAAAGCACCTGTAGAAGGTTAGAAATCAATATCAGTTAACGTGAGATGTTCAGAGCAAGTTGCATCATCCAGTAGCGTATACTCTGTTGTAATAGGTTACTTCGTTCACAGTTGACTCTGGGCTCGACCTACTTTCAAACCATTTCTGAGTATTCTGAAGAGTCCCAAACTGGGACAAAACACTTCTCAAGTGTTCCCTGGTTTTCAGTGATCTAACCAATACTAGTTAATGATGAAAATTAATCCACTTCTCATTGGAGAATGACTGCGGAATGGACTTGATCTGAGTTCTAGGGAGAAGTCGCAAGTAGTGTTCCAAACAGAACACGAGACCTCAAGCTTTGAAAATTCAGTAGATAGAATGGGTTGTTTTTATGAGGTGAAGTAGCTAACATCATTCCCAACGTTCCCTCTTCTCTCGACTGAGCACTTACTAGGTGAGTCTGAGGAGTGAGTTGGCCTGACGAATCACCAACTCATATATTGTTTATCTAAAACTTCTATATACTTCTCTACTTTAATTCATATCCAGTCATAGCTGTATGCTTCAGGGGTCATTGAATTTATGACCAAATGATCAACACGTTGAACTTGAAGAAACTGAAGTTCTTGAATGTTATCCGTATTACATTCTGGGTGTTCACTGCTGAAAAGTTTCCAAACAAGAAGAAACATGAATTCAGAGCTCATAAACTTTCAGTGACCCTCTAAATGATGTTGGTTTGCAGTGAAATCTATTCTGGAATTAATCGAAACCTCTACAGAACTCATAATCTAAACATCAATCACCAGCTCATGGATAAAAAGGCGCCGTCTATATGCTTCATCATTTCAGATGCGAAGAGGATGCTCATCGGAGGGTATTCACTGGCTATAATGGTATCGTTCGAAGTAAGAATTCTCTGGATCACTGATTCCAGTGAGCTGGCCTCGTAACTTAAAAATCCTAGGTTCCAGCCAGCCACACAGCCACCCCGAGCCCTAATGGTGTATACTGCCGAAGAGTCCCAATTCGGGATGAAACTATTTTGCCAACTATTCTCTGTCTTAGCATTATTGATTTCTTCGAGAATATACTGTCAGAAATTGGCCCCACAGACAAAATGAGCACAATTGCCTGTTTGTAACAAAAACTTTAACTCAATTACTACTTAAATGGATATAAGTAGAGAACTTTTACATAAATGATAAAATTTATCGCTAATTAAGTTCTACTTTCAAAGGTTATATGAGAAAGAAATGATGTCACACTGTAGTTTAGTCAAATAGTCACTTCTCACGGTGTTTTTATTATTGTAGTAATTGAAAACTTACCAACTCATGAATCAAGTTACAGTGTACTCTGAGTCACCAGTAGCCTCGTGTAATTTCACTTACTTTGCTCACCTTCCACACTGGATCGAAAGGCTTTGATCCATAGACGAACAGGAGTGGAGAGCTACTACCACTACCATCAACCAGCCAATGAAAATCATCTCAGGAACTATTAAAAAACCAATGAATATTAGACAGAAATCTACAAACATGATGTAAAATTAAGTCTTTTGTATCTAAAGCTACCGTCTGCAAGACTTGTCACTTGGAGTCACCGCTGCACCTTGATGAAATATACTGCTAACTGCTACTTGATTTCCAATGGTCAAGAATTCAGTATTGATCTATGACGAGAACTACTGGTAATCTTATCCGTCATCAGATAGCGCATTTGAACTGAAATGCTCAGTCTGCGTTGACATGTCAGTCGACCCCTAGCACAGTTGCTTCGATGAAGTTTGACGATTGATATATTGTTGTTGGTTTCAGTTGATATTATATCACGAGTTCAAGCCTCACTGAGACTGCAAGTGAGCTCGATTGATGAGTCCCAAATAGAACGAAATGCCTATCCTGGATTCGACCAAAATAATTTGCATAACTTCATCATACATTTCTAACATATAGTTTACACATAGGTATGTCTGTGCGTATCTACATGTCTACGTGTATGTATGTGTTTGTCTGTCTCTGTACCCTCTGGTTGCCCATATAACCGAAAACAAAGCACATCTCATTGGACAATTAATTCGTGCAAGAAAGGACACATGTATCTGTTTGAATTGCTTATAATTGCCACTTATCTATCCAAACATACATACACATATGCAAACGCACTGACGTGTTGTGTGTCCGTACCACTAGCCTGTGTATGTGTGTTTATCTACAAGTGTCTTAGTAGTGCTTTATAGAGTAATTATTATTCAATTAGCACCATGTTCCTCTTCATTATTATTACTACTTTTATTATTATTATTATCATTGCACATGTTACGACAAATGTGTTGACCAACATACACTATACTTTAAATATATTAAGAAAAAAAATCAATTATTATTCAGCAATAATTATGAATTCGATTAACCTTCTTTCTTCCCTTACCCCAATTCCATTTGATTAACCTTTCCCGAGGGAAAAGAAATGAAATGCAATGCATTATGACCGACCAAAGTAAAATGACTCACTCATACACCCACGGAGAGGTGAAGATGCAACAGTAGGCAGGCCATTAGTAATTCAGACACACACAGACACACTAACACACAAACAGATGAATCTGCGAAGCAATCATATCAGGTGTCTGAATTGTGGTATGGTGTGAATCCCTGTTTGTCTGTCTATCTATCTATCTACCTATTCACCTATCTATCTCTCATGGGTCTTGTAATCTCTCCCCTCACCCCCCACCGACAGATGTGCCATTGCGCATACACTTAACCTTCGACAGTTTTGAGGGGTCAAATTCATCTAGGGAGGGAATGAATGACCTCGAAACAAGCGTTGATTGGATTAAGTCGATTTTTTAGCTTCCTCCTAATGTTGTCGAATGTGTATATTTTACAGTTTGATATTATTATTATTATTGTTACTTTTATTTCATTTCTAAATGATTTACCAAAACGAATCTTTTTTTAAAAACGCGCATTTTATTTACCCACATATATGTTCAATGTTTAATAGAATTTTGGAAATCAATCAATAATCATTGGAATATTGAACAATTTAAAGGTTTAAATTCTCAACACTATCAAAGCAAGAAGTTATCGTTAAAAAATCAATTCAGTAATAATAATAACAGTAACACTTCAATGAAAACATCAATATTATGGAATCAGAAAGACGGGGCTGGAGTAAAATCCCCACCAGCATCAGCTGTCGTCGAGTCATCGACTTCATCATCAACCTCAGGAGCGCCATCAACACAACATCAACATCAACAGCATGAGGAATATCCCCGTTGGAGACAAATGATGATGTTAAATCCTGATACCAATGGTGGGGGGAAGTCAATGCCACGTGTACGTCAAAGAGCAAGCTCTTTAAATGACCGCCTAACAACACAAAAACATTCTGATTACAACAAATTGAAACAACATGAAAATAATATTGAAAACATTGAAAAATATTCATTCAGTGGTAAAAACAATCAAAAGTTAAATCATACAAGTACTTTGTTAGAATCAATGAAACAAAGACTGGATCATCGAAATCATATGAATAACACTCATTATCATCACAATAATAACAACAGTAGCAGCAGTAGAAGTCAACTGAATTTAGATAAACAAAGTATGACAGCTACAATCACTGGCGCTGGAGCGAATTTAACGAAAATTAAAACAAATGACCCGCCTGATTCATCCTCGTCATCACAGCCTTCACATCGAATTCATCAAAGTAGAAGTCATCAAAATGGAGTAAGTTTTTCAATTTTTTTATTGATTTATGTTTGAATTTCGGATATGTTAGTTAGTTTCGTCCCTATTTAGGACTCTTCAAGCGTGTATAATATTTTCATCACTATGGAGAACCTGAAGGTGAGTTAGGGAAAAATTCTATTAAGAAGTTATTATTACCGTTAGGTATTATTTATTGTGATGGGGGCAGCTTATTTATTTGATGTTTGATGTTTCTGAACTAAGAATCAGAGATGAATTGGGGATTTTCAATAAGACTGAAATTAAGGAGCCACTTAAGAATCTTATAGACCACTGAGGTAAAATAATACAATTTACAGATAGTGGGAAACGAGAAGACAGGGATATCCTGGACCGACGTGAACAATCTAGAAGACCTGGATTTCGCGCGTGGATGATTTATGTTTGATGTCACACAAAATCAAAGACTTACAAGCGAAAACCGACAAACTGGTCAACGAAGCAGCAATGACAGGATTCCAGGTGAACATGGACAAGACGGAGGTTATGAAAATAAGCAACCAACAACAACAACAGCAGCAGCAACATCCAGCTCCAATCACCATCAACGGGAAGGATTGGAAAGAGGTTAATTCATTCACTTACTTATCTAGAGAGCATTGTCTCAACTACAGGAGGAACGGATGGACGAGGATGTCAAATCGAGAATCGGGAAGGCGAGAAACACATTCATCAACCTGAAACCAATCTGGAAATCTTCGTCACTCAGCCTGCATCAACAACAAAATCCGGATTTTCAATACAAACGACGTCAAGTCAGTCGGTTCTTCTATACGGATCAGAAACTTGGCCAGTGTGTCACCAAGAATATTTCCAACAACTGTCTTCACTCTATACTGAAGATGAGATGGCCGGAAAGAATCACCAACAAGAAACTATGTGAACAAACAAAACAAGAACCAATCGTCCAACAAATATGCAGGAGAAAGTGGAGATGGATTGGACACTCGGTGAGCTGAGGAGGCTGCTTGGTGACATCGCGCGTCAGGCCAGTGCTCAAGTGGAACTCGAAAGGGAATTAGCGAGTGGGACGTCTGAGGGTGATGTGGGGGGAGATCGTGTGAAGAGGAGCTGAAACAGTATGGATTAACATGGACGCAGGTGAAAAGTACAGCAGAAGACAGAAGCAAGTGGAGACGTGTAGTTGAAGCCCTATGTTCCACTAGGAACCAAAGGGGACAATAATAATAATATAATGATGTTATTTGAATAAGTCAGACTGGTAGATAGTGGTCAGTTAGATTATGTGAACATAGGAATCTAATAATAATAATAATTATTATTATTATAGTAATAATAAGGCTTTATTTCAGACAATATGTGAACACATAGTACCAAAAGTTCCAGGGTGTTTACGCGTGTCCAAACCAAGTTCACTTTTAACAGTTTGAAAAAATGTGGGCATTGGGTATATGATATTCATTATAATAAAGGTTGCCTTTTAGTATTACCCAATGAATGAAAAACAAAACCATGCCGTTGTTATTTTTACTGACGTTTCGTTATTTAATGCTGCTGCTAATAGCTCTATCAAAATAGTTATATTAAACCAGAATTTACAAAATCCACTCAGCTTATATTAAATAACAACTTAATCATCGTTCCTCAGCATGCGGTAATTTTTATGTTGTTGTCGAATTGGCCAATTGGTAAAGATAACAAAACCAGGTGTAGATTACTGTTGGATTTGATAGGTGTGTAAAATTATGAAAGCAGCGTGTGTTTACATAATGAAATTGCTTATCACATTCGTGTTGATTTTATCATTTCATGGGGAAGGGAGGGAAGGAGGTGTTGTAACCAGGTGAAATTCTGTTCTGAGTCCATCATTCCCATTCACCAGACAATTCGGATTCCATATGATGGTGATATGAAGTGCTTCCGATGATATGAGACGTTCTTTATGATTTCTGAAATGCTTTTTCTTGGCGATGATTTCAATATTGTCAAAATCAATTTTGTGGCCTGATTCTATAGAGTGTATAGTAAATATTTATAAAATGTACAGAATTTTCAGAGGAATTCATTGCGTGATATTACCCCCCCCCTTCGTACAATATCTTCAAGTAAAATATTAATTAACTGACATTATATCCTGCGACGGTGGTCACAGTGGTCTATGAGCTGAAGCACAAACCATTCCATTATCATGATATATCTGTTTTGTCTCCTTCCTTCAAGAAATCCACGATGTCGATCTAGTTGGAAGCCAATTGTAAGATGTTTAGAAGTACATTTTGAGAACCAAAGGGCATAATTGAAGAACAGTTATCTCATGTTGTATTGGAACACGTTGACCCCCACAATCAGGAGCTTGTAAACATTTCAAATACACACACACACAAGAGTGGATAATACCCAAGGCTTCCTGCCGATTGCCTCCAACTATCTAATATCATCGAATCATACCCCTATTAGAGGTCATATCTTAATCGATTAAAACAAACCGAACGAGAGAAAGTAGATGCAATAGGGTAGCTCAAGTTTTAAACAAACTGAGGTTGCTAACCCCACCCTGGGGGAGAAGTAACACCACCACCACCACCTCTATTATTATCACTATTGTTCCCTTGGGTTCCTAGTGGAACATAGGACTTCAACTACACGTCTCCACTTGCTTCTGTCTTCTGCTGTACTTTTTACCTGCATCCTCTTCACACGATCTCCCCCCACATCACCCTCAGACGTCCCACTCGCTAATTCCCTTTCGAGTTCCACTTGAGCACTGGCCTGACGCGCGATGTCACCAAGCAGCCTCCTCAGCTCACCGAGTGTCCAATCCATCTCCACTTTCTCCTGCATATTTGTTGGATGATTGGTTCTTGTTTTGTTTGTTCACATAGTTTCTTGTTGGTGATTCTTTCCGGCCATCTCATCTTCAGTATAGAGTGAAGACAGTTGTTGGAAATATTCTTGGTGACACACTGGCCAAGTTTCTGATCCGTATAGAAGAACCGACTGACTTGACGTCGTTTGTATTGAAAATCCGGATTTTGTTGTTGATGCAGGCTGAGTGACGAAGATTTCCAGATTGGTTTCAGGTTGATGAATGTGTTTCTCGCCTTCCCGATTCTCGATTTGGCATCCTCGTCCATCCGTTCCTCCTGTAGTTGAGACAATGCTCCCTAGATAAGTAAGTGAATGAAGTAACCTCTTTCCAATCCTTCCCGTTGATGGTGATTGGCGGTGGATGTTGCTGCTGCTCTACTTTTCTGAAATTTCAAGGTCCCACTTTAATTGAAACAGCTGTCCAATAAAATTTCTCCTATTTAATAATTCACTAATTAATGTCAATTCTTGATGAAGGTTAAAATCTGAAGAGAGAGAACAAGTAAAACCGAAAGATCAAAATAATTTCAATTAACACTTTTTTCCATGTTGCCATGACTACAACAAATGACTAATTATTATTATTAATGTGATCAAATAATTGACGGAAATTATATTTACCTATTTTCAGTGACTAAGAATTTTATTTTCAAGAGTTGACTAATGAGATCTATTCAGCCGGCAGTTAGGATGGAGTTCCCACTGATGACATTGGTTGGTGCCGGTCGCCATTGAGTCGGCTCCAAGTGGCCTAATGGTCTACGAGCTTGCCTAGTAACCGGATGGTCCTGGGTTCTAACCCCGATCCTGGGTGCGTACTGCCGATGATCGCCAAACAAGTACGAATCAGCTGTCCAGTACTACCGGGATTTCCAATGGCCTTCTAACCAATGTCAGTTCATGATGAAATCCTGAAACCAATCAAATCCTGACAGTGACCAGTAGGGTACAGCAGGTTGAAGATGAGGCAGTAACTCATCGAAAAAGACATTGCGAAATGGTCGCACTATGCTGTGAATTGGTAGACGTTAGAATTCATGGTCCATTGCATCGGGTCCCAATGACTCAATGGTCTACGAGCTCTCCTTGTAACAAGAAGGCCCTGGGTTCAAACCCCGGCAGGTGCTTGCCAGCGAAGAGTCCCAAAATAGGACGAAACAGCTGTCCAGTACTCCCAGGTTTTCCAGTGGTTCTCTAATTGATGTCAGCTCTAGATGAAATCCTCCAAGCAATCAAACCAATATATATATATATACATATATTGAGGTTAGGCTTTCTGGTCGAGTGTTAGATAAGGAGGGAAAATAGACCAATATGCTCGTGAAGCTACATTGACTGAAATGAGCAGGGCATGTCTTACACATGCTTATACCTCGTCTCGTTAGATGAGAACTGTCAACTCACAAAACTTGGAATCAGTCCATGAAATTTGTGATAGTTTATTTCCCATATCTGCTAAACCTCTACTTGGTGAGCTACATAGTGTGTGGCAAGCTGAACTGTAGCTGTTCCGTGCAAAGTTCTGCGCTGAAAATCAGTCCGAAAACTGATGACTTGGTAGGGGGAAATAATCGTAGAAAGAAATTCGGGGTTGGTCTCAAAAAGAGATGACTAGAAGACAGAGCCTTCATTGATTCTACAAACAAATTATGCCTCCATGCAGGAAACATTAAGAAAATTCACCTTTTCAGTTCATGTCTGGCGAGAAACCACTTAGACCAACACACAATTAGTCCGGGTCGTAAAGCACCAACATCGCAGTATAAAGGGATTCCAGATAGAACGGACAAAAGTATGCAGAAATGTGAAGTATAAACTTTTATGAAGCCATATATATATAAGTCCTATTCCTCTTCTAATGATATAAACGTCCCATCGCTGTCAGTGATAGAGTATGCTCCTTCCCACTTTGGAAAGAGTTTTCATTGGCCCCAATCTACCGTGGAAACTGTACTTTATTTCTATACACTTTATATGATCTCTGACTTGCGTGTATTTATCTCTTCTCGAATTTTGCGATGTCAGTCTTCTGTTTATACTTAACATTTCTGATTGTTTCTGTCGGTTCCGTCTGGAATCTCTTCATACTCTAGGTGGTTTTTTGCCAGACATCAACTGAAACGGTGAACTTTTTTATTGTTTCCTGTTCG